ATGCCACGAGAGGCCCTTCTCCCCCTACACCCTTGGTCCCCTCTGTGTCCAGGAGCTCAGAGCAGGGAGGCTGGGAGGGCAGCTGTGGGGTTTCTGCCATGGTCAGTGGTGGTGCATGTCTGCAGGCTGTGCTCTCTCTCTTTTCCCTTCCAGGCTCGGAGAGCAACAGCGCTGACCACGATTACGAAACCATTGACAACAGAGTTCAAAAGACAATTCACAAAATGCAAGCAATTTTTCCTTTCTAGTCCTCTAGCTTCTGGAAGCCACCCACATTTTCAGACCTTCCCTGACACTGGTTGCTTGCAGAGGCCAAATACAGCCCTAGGGATCCACAGCGCAACCTCCAACTGCCTCCATCCTGCGGAAAGGTGCCCGCTCTCCTCGAAGCCAAGCAGCCCCTGTGCCATCAGGACAGCCAGTGAATAAATCACTGTGGTGCTGTGGGCTGTGTCCTCAGCTGGCACCCATGGGACTCTGACAGCACCAGACCAGTGCATGGTTGGGTGGCCGCCAAGATGCTACCGAGGTGCCAGCCCAGGCCTTGGGACACGGATCTCACTCTGCCCTGCTGCATCACCACAGCGTCCGGGCTGGGATTACAGATGCTTTCAGATGCCGATGCTTTAGGACCAGCATGTCCAGGCTGTTTGGCATGCGGGGTGGTACAGAATTAGGAGACATGACAAGGTACCTGACGTGGTGTAAGCGCTGCCCCAGCTGAGGCTCAAACCACAGAGCGACACAGTTTTACAACTGTACTGCAGAAACCCGTGTCCGTAGGGAACAAGCTGCATTTTTCTCAAGTACAGCCAAACTCGCTTCTCACCGAAGTTTCAGAAACATCATGGCTTTGGGCTTTGGGTTTTGCTGGTTTTTCTCATCCGTTTTTAACTGCATTTGCAACTGGAAGTAACATCTGTCCTAGATCTCCACAGTCCCGTCCTGCTTGTGAGCGTGCTTGCTGCACTCATGGAGATTCTTGGCACCTGCAAAGACCCTGACTGCACACATGGCATTGGATACAAAAAAATTACCTGAAAACCACCTAAGGACTGAAGTTTGGCAGTCCTGGGGAAGGCAGAGATGAAGACCTGATGTGCATTAAGGGAGAAGAAAGGGCAAGGGAGGGAACTTTACACCAAAAGCAAGCTTGTGTTTTACTCCTGCATCGCACACTGCGCTCCTCTTTCAAATGAGAGCTGGAAAATAAATTTTAAATGTTGTTTAAGATCAAACTGGTTTTGTTTCCCTCTCCTG